TCATAGTTTGAACTTGGAAAATACCTCAATTTTATATTTCATGAAATAAACCCAGACCTTACGAGAAAAATCACCAGGGAATGTCATAAAGTAATTGGAACCTCCAACAGAGAGCTCTTATATAGGCCCCTAGACATTAGAATGGACATAGTCTAAGATTTCATTGGTCTTGTGTTGCTTAATCTTACAACAAACTCTACATTGTTTCCCAAGAACACAAAACTTGCATAATCCAATTGTGCAACTGTAAACACCCTTCAGCAAATTCCTCCTATGTAGTTCCATCATCCCACGTTCATTGAGATGACCCAAGCGTATGTGCCACAGTTTGGTTGCATCATTATTAGTTTCAACAAATGCTACGTCACCCATAACGGTGTCACCTAACAACTTATAAATGTTGCATGTTGTCCTCCTGTCCTTCATCACTATCATTGCACCCTTGTTAACTCTCATGATATATCTATCTCCATCTGACTAAAATGAATAACTATTTTCTTGAAGAGTACCTAGAAAAATCAAATTCTTCCTTAATTCTGGAACATAACGTACCTCACTCAAAGTGCACACGCCACCGTCATCTAAAGAAATTTTAATTTTCCCTTTCAAATGATGGTACAAGTTTTAACATCACCTAAAAAGATAAAACCAAAATCACTTGATTTAAAAGAGTTGAACCATTCCTGATGCGACGTCATATAGTATAAGCACCCATAATCAATAATCCATGCATCAGTTCACTTTGTAGATGAAACGTAAAGCAAATCATTTTTATTACATGAGTCATTTGATTGAACTACATTTGCTAAACTACTGTTTCCTAACTTGTTTGGACAACCCCTCTTCCAATGGCCAATTTTTTTGGAACAAAAACATTATGTTGTTTTTTGGTCATTGGAGTTGAACATTTTTTTCTTTCCAGAACTCTGTCTTGCCCTTGCCTCTGCCACGGTCTTGACCTTCCTTCACAAACAAACTTTCACCTGAGCTTCCTCTACACTTTGGAGACGTTGTGCATGTTACAAAAGAGTAGAAGAAATGAAATTCATCGTGATTGTTTCCTTCCTGTATGTGAGAGTGGTCACGAAGTGATCATAAGAGCTTGGGAAAGAGCATAAAAAAATAATGGCTTTATCCTCATTGTTAACCTTCACACCAAGCGTATCAAATTAGCAAGGATGTTGTTGAAACCATTGATATGAGCCTGTAAATCACCTCCTTCCTACATCTCCAAGCTATAAAGACGTTGCTTCGTGAACAATTTGTTCATGAGTGTCTTAGACATGTACTGATTTTCTAATTTTTCCCAGACATCCTTCGCAGTTATGAGTTCTAGGATATGATTCATCATGTCATCAGAAACGCAAAGTCTTATCAAACATGCGGCCTTCTCCTTGATCTCGTTCTAATCAATGGTTGTGATTTCTGTCGATTTCTCATCATGAAACACCTTCTATAAACCTTGTTGAACCAACAATTCCTTAACCCTCCTTTTCCATAAACCGAAATTGCTCATTCCCCCAAACAGAGTCACTTCGAATTTCACACCTCTCAAATTAAACATCATCTGATACCAATTGTTAGAATAGAAAGGTGAATATATATCATAGTAAAGAGAAACACACAAAAGTTTTGTTCACGCAGTTCGGCCAAATTGCCTACGTCTACGACTATAGAGTAAATATAGTTTCTTTTATTTATATCTTGTGAATTTCATATAGACTACAATGTAACTATAGGTTGCTCAGGGAATAACTCATATTGTTGAAATAATTACGGGTGGAGATAATTATTCCCTGAACAACCTATAGTTATCTCAGCAATCCATAATTTTCTCAACAATATGAGTTATACTCTCAACAAATCATAGTTATCTCAACAATCCATAATTATCTTAACAATATGAGTCATATTCAACATTGTCTAAAAGACAGACCTCGTATAACTCTTAGTTTCAAACCCTATTATGATAATTTAAGCTTTACTATGACTTTTAAGATTTTTTACGAATGTCAATACAAAAGTAGAGTCTATATCAAATATCAAGTTGACGGATTGAAAAGTGAAGATTGATATTTAATACATAAAATACAGTCAGTTAAGCCAACCAATAAAAATAGTTTTTGTTTAACTGAGATAATCATATTTTCCCTTAAAAATAACTTTGTTTAATGGGTCTTGTCACTCAACCAACGATAAAAATAGGAAATTCTATTGGATAAAAATATGATTATATGCTCTAAAAGGAGATATAATCTATATTTATCTACTTAAAATTTTGCAAATGCTAAAATTCTCATAATGAGTATAAACGACGATTTATAGGGTCAGTGTTAGATAAAAAATCATAATCTTATGACTAGCTTTCATTAAAATTTCATTATATAAAATATTCAAACCAATCAAAATTAATTAGTTTTAGTTAATCATAAAACACAAAATACTTGATAATAAATCATAGTGCCATAGGAACGATCTTATTTTATTACGTGAATATACCGTACTGTTGCGGCATATCAGTAGCTAGTGGTTAAATGAAATGAAATGAAGTGATTGATGTGTTTTGTATGATCGTATCAAACAAACCCTCATAATTGAGTACAAGAAGAACATGATCCCTTCAAACCCGTCTAAACACAATCTTTATACATGAGATAGTTCTTTGATGAAACATGGCACATTAAATACATCTAATATCAAATATTTGTTTTTCCATGATTCACTATTAATTTCACTCTTCAAAACATTATAATTGAATGTAGTATTGTTTAAGTATCTTTCTCTATCACAAACACATGCCATTGGTTGGTGTGCACAGTACCATGTTGGGGTGTAGTAAGCAGTGAACGTTCCATCAAAGAAAAAGAAAAGTGAAAGAGCATTACAAACAACGAAGGAAGGTCACTTCACAATTCACATTCAATAACAAAGCATTGTTTGTTTCATATCATTTTTATAAAAAATAAAAAAATAATAATAACAGTATCAATATCAGACTCTAAAACTGATTAATTATGAGACTAATTATATCGTCCACTTTTGATGATTCAATTGAAATGATATTTATGGAATTTGAACTCGAACTTTAATATGAGACATAGGCAGAATTCGATCCTTCTAAGCACAATCCAAGATGTCAAGTTTTCATCGTCTGATAAACCTCGAGTTTTGTTTATACTATTGTACTAGTATTTAATTATATAGTTGTTATGAGGATTTTTGTCTTTGGGTTTTGATGTGTCACTACAATCTACATAAGTTTTCTGCCTAAACTTCCGACCAAAAAGCCAACTTCATTTTGCTTCTTTAGATAAGGTATATTCATGAGATAGACCATCCCATCCCATTCATAGCATTCCTTTACATAATAAAATACGACGAAACCCTATACCGAATTTGGCGTTGATTGAATGTATGTCAAGATTATCTAGGGGGCCAGCCACAATTGTTGTAAATCATTTATTATTATAGACACAAACTATAGAAATGGGAGAACATAGACAAATAATTGAAAACCCATACTACTTGTGGCTCGATAGATAGCAGTGAATATAGAGCTTCAACATCCACGTGAAAGTGTCATTTGATCTCTAGCGTAAATTATTTGATGCGGTCTATTTAGTATTAGTAAACATTACAATTTCTTGGATTAGGACGTGTTTGAGTTAAGAGGTATGCTATTAATATATGTTTTTTTACGTGTTTAAAATTATCACTAAAGAAATTATTGGATGAATCGCGGATTAGATTGTTCTCTTTTAAGATGTGAAATTATTGGATGAATCGCGGATTAGATTGTTATCTTTTAAGATGTTTCGTTGTACTGTTTAAAATTATACAAAATAAACAATCAATTACAACTTATATTGTACAATTATCATTTGTATAATAGATAATTGGTCTAAAATTACACATTTTGATGGTACAATAACCAATCAACTATGATATAATTATATTCACTTCTACATACACTACCTTGGTCTCTCGTTATTAATACTGAAACCAATTATTCGCAGTCTTAATTATAATTGGTATTTGTAAGATTCAACAATTTTTTATACCAAACCGATAAAGTTTTACACTTGCACTTGCGGCCTATCAACGGCAACGTGACCACCAAATTTAAATGGTCTTCTTATTAAGATTTGATAATGTTTAATTGAAGTCTAAGAGGTTGCAAGATAGATTTGATGAGTGAAGTCAAAAGGTCATATTAATCATTTTCCTACATAGGAGGGGGATAATAAACAAAGTGGTTACGATAGAGAGAAGAATAAAATTAACTTTGATGTCACAGGTAGAATGACATTAATGTGGTCAACGTCCACTCTCTTAAAAATAAAAATGCAAAGTACATAGGCACATAGGAACCTAACATTCATTCGTACTAGTATAGACTATAGATATCCCCTGAATTCAGTTGTATTAGACTAAATCCACATCCGTTGAAGACTTCTCCGATAAAAATAAGGTGATGGAGAATGTGGCTGAGTGATTTAATTAAAACTTTTTAGCTTGTGATGAAGTATGTATATGTAATATCATGTTAATTTTCTAAATGTATAACACAAATTATGACTCATTATGTTACAAATCAGTGTGTATCATCAATCATTCCCATTACAAGCTACTCATTTTGGCAAGTGACTAAAATCGACAAAAATAACAATTTAGTTCTAATTAAACCACGGTTGGAATTTTAGATACAAAGTAAGATAAACAATTCAACAACCAAATCACATTCATAATTTCAGGCTGAATGGATATGCTACTCAGATGAATACATAAAAATGCAGGGATAAAAGGTTGCCACTCCGCATAAAGAGTAGTTTCAACGCAATTCACAATAAAAATTCAAAGGATAGCATAGTCACTCGTTGATTTTTCCAGGTTACATTCGCAATGGTCAATACTTACATTTTTAAATGCATTAACCCACAAACCTGGATTATCTATTCAATATAATTATTTACATTATTTTACTTGAACTCTCACCTGAGTTACACAATACAACATCTCAGCACCAGCCCCTTTTGGTCAATCCTTCCATCTTCATTGCCTAAAAGTCATACATGAACATTCAGCTTTCTCATATAACAAAATTTATATGTAAAATGCAAACCAGTAATATTATTTCCGACAAAGTTATGTCAGCATAGCTTATAATCTTAATTAAGACAGGCTAAAAAATAGCAGACTAAATTGATCCAGCCAATGCAATTTCTAGTAGACTATCTTACAATGATATGTTGGCACACTAGGGTTTGAACTGTGTCTGGAGTGCATCTAGCTTATTACTTTTGGTAACTCCTTTCATGATATGCAATACATAGTTTATTGACGGTGTAAAAAAAATTATTTGGTTAGTTACAAGATTTATTAAATTTACATTTACAATTACAGACGAGTAATAGTAATTGTTTAAATACTGAATCCTGGGAATATCCACACAAATGCAAAGTAGAACGTGTATTGAAACATGCATTTATTAAGACTGCGTGCTGAACAATCCATCAGAAAGTTTCACTGTGAATCTACTCTAAGTTTAGAGCTGAATAACACAAACAATTGATCACATTTTCAGAGACCTAATTTCCAAAGCATCACAAGCCCGACGGGATCAAAAACACACAATAATCTAACAATTAATGTTCAATCACTTAACCAGTTGACCGAGCAGCGACTCCAAACACAAGAGGAGGGAGTGGGGTTTGAATTGGTTATTTGAAAAACTGATTGTTTCCCTATTTTGACTGAATTCTCAATCGACTCTTCCAATTAAAGTTTTTAGAAGTTAATCTCGTTTTTTGAATAACACAATTCAAACCCTATTAGACAATCATTGATTACAAGTTTGGAAAACAACGAAAGAAACAATTCTTGTTGTATTCAACTGCCAAATTAACCACACAGTCTATACTAAAGGAAGAAAACTAAGTTAACCAAACTTGTGCCTATAGAAATTGCTATAACGGAGATAGAGGCTATAAAAAGGCTTGCAAGTAGTAAAAGTCAGAAATAAGAGTGACGCACCTTCAGGAGGCTGAGCTAGCTTCCGATTTTGTGGAGACATCATTTCTTTCTTCAATTGCAGTAAAATATCTTCCATTGTAGACTCTCTTTTCCAATTAGAAAGCATGGGAAACAAATTTGGCTCAACCTGGCAATTTAGATATTTATCAGAGCATATTCAATCACCACAGTATAAGTTAGTAAAATAGTAAAAAAGTTAACTACCGCTCCAGATTCTTGATTAACGCAAGTCATGTTAATCCTTGTCTGAAATCTAACAGATGGTGGATTGTCTGGATAATCCTTGCCACAGAACAGTTTCAATTGGTAGATACGACCTTCATGAACAGTCTGGTAAAAGAACAGAATGGAAAGTTAAACTCAACAAGTAAAAATGGTGTTTAATTTGATACTAATTTCACCTAACAACTGAAGTGGCACGTGAATCATGAGCATGGCTTTTATTGGGGGGAAAACTAGTGTTGATCAAAGTACTTACACCAGGGGGGCCAATAATAGTACCAGTCCATGACTGCATGAATATATCATCAGCATCATCCATTCCATAACTAACAGTCCCATCTCCAATTCCCTTCTCCCCTCGCTCAAGCTCTTCCAATAATCTGAAATTCCTAGGAACTGCATTGGTGGACAAAAGAATATTAAACAAAACAAGTGCAAATTACAAATCTACATGGAATAAATAGTCTCAAATCAATAATTAGAAAAGAGAAAATATGAAAATTACATCCCAAATATCAAATTACATTCAAAAAATCTTGTGTAGATATTTGATCACGTAATTTTAAATAAATATGCTTGATTGTATGATAGATATAAATCACAAATAACATAAAAATATCTAATTTACTACGTTATAGATTAAAAAGAATTTGGAAATAAATATATAAAAAATGGAAAGTTAGAAGATAGAAAAAGGATTTCTATATAATCACAAGGTATTGAGTTAGATTCCCCTTGGAAAAGGTTGTATGTCGGCCATTAATTCCACTAGAATTAATATAAAAAAATTACCCCTACTCAAAAACAAAAATAAGAAAATATAACCACAATTTAGGAAAGGTTATTTATTTAGTAGTAGAAAATAGGGAAAGAATAAACAAAATTATCAGCATCATTCAAAAATCAATGAGAAAACATAATATTGCATCTTAGGTTGTAAAAGACAAATCCATATTTATCAGACTGGATATCTGGTATACCCGGATGTACCCAAATAGAGAACTCAGTTTTTTATTTAAAAATTAATTTTGGTATGTACTCAGCAATTACCCGCAAATACCCAAAACAGGTACAACCTATGTAGCCAATGATAGACTGTGCAGTTGGAAGGCTACTGCACCAAAGTCAAGGAGCGAGAATAACAGGGGAGAAGATGTTGTATGGTGGCACAGGGAGCATGGGAGAAAGTCGGCACCAGGCCCGCAAGAGTCACGCAGAGAAGAGTAAAGAAGAGTGGTAGCAGAAGTCAAACACCCTAGTCAGTTTGTAAAGACTAAAGGTCCAAAAAATAATCTTTAGCTTCTAAAAACCAAGGGCATTTTTGTCTAATCATGATAAAAAATGAGGGCACTTTTGGCTTTCCGCTTGTCTTCTCTGTTGTGCTCGCAATTTCACCGCAACCCGCAGTGCTACAGCTGCAACATGAATCTGCTCTACCACGGCGTTTTGCATAGAGCTGGATTTCAACTATGCCACACACCAATGCAATTGCAGGTTGACTAAATAGAGTACAATATGAATTTTGAATCCCCATGCTGCAGAGGTGCTTATCAGTTGTCACCATACTCCCAGGGTGATGGATAAGAGTTTGTAATTGAATAAAAAAAGTCTTTTGAAAAAGAAACAGCGGATAGAAGTACACTAAAACTTGACCCTCCATTTTTTCCTCCCACTCCTTCAATCTTTAAGAATTCAAACAGTCTCCTAACCTTGCACACAAAATGAGTTCATTCTAGTATATAATGCTAAGGAACCATCAGAAATCAGTGACACAGTTGAAGGACCGAATAACAACTTAAATATACATATACCACACAAGACCATGCCACCCGAAGCTTCTACATTAAATTAATTGGGGGAGAATAGATGCACAGAATTTAGAATCTCGGCAAACAAAACACTGAAAGAATTGAAGGGATGTGTATTACACTATCAAGTACGGTGAGTTATGAAACAAGGACACGGAAAACATGACACCGACACTGACACACCGATATAATTTGACAAAATGAATAAATTAAACATAATCACAAATGTCGGTGTTAGTTTCGGACACAGACATGGACACATCATGAGCATATATAAAGAGAAAATTGAAAGTTTATATCACAAACACATTCAATTCAAAGTTTTCCCCCTTTCCCTGTTACATTTACTACAGAAATAGCTTAGATAAATATAATTTCATACAATCACAGCTCCAAATGAAATGAATTTGCATCAACATCAGGTTCAAATTCACGAACCTTTGACCAATTTCAACACAAAGAAACTGAAGTTAGAAATTCTAGATTACACATCCAGCACAATTCAAAAACAATCAGAGAATCACATAAGAACCAACACACAAACAACCACAGAGAAAACCAAAAAAGAAAAAAAAAAAGTATAAAATCGAAACAGTAGAAAGACGAAGAACAATAGATAATATGAAATGAAAATCCAAATGAAGATGTGTTCGAGAATTACCAACGACGCTGGATCCTTCTGAACCCATTATGATGGTGAATCGGAGGAGCTAGGGTTTTGGAATTCTAGAGAGAGAAACACAGTGAGGTAGAGAGAGAAATAGAAAAAGAGGAAAGCGTTATCGTATTGTAACAATAATGAGTGTGGCTTAAGTCAAAGTTTTTCTGTTTAGTGTTTAACTTACCAAATGGGTTAAGCTAATTAAACAACATTGTACTTTCTTTCTTTTTAGATTAATAAATATGTCATGATGATGTAAAATATAATCACTGATCCAATCAAATCACATTTAAAGTTTTATTATTGAATAGAATTAAGATATGGAGAGAAAAGAATAGCCAAATTTATCAAAGGTTTGCATAAATATAGCTTTTAATTCATATCAAATTGGTTGTAAAGGTGTAAAAGAAAAAATGCATACTAGATTTGTTATAGAGTAAAGTGTTACATAAGAAGAAGAAAAATTGAATTGGTTGTAAAGGTGTAAAAGAAAAAATGCATACTAGATTTGTTATAGAGTAAAGTGTTACATAAGAAGAAGAAAAATTGAAGGGGAAAGATAAGAGTTTTCTTTTTTAATGGTATGGATATAAGAGATTCAATTTAAATAAAAGAGACTATCTAAATTAAGATTGGATTACACATGATCTAAATATGTATAGTAAAGAAGGAATAAATTCAATTATTTAGGTTATTATTACATAGCATTGTAACAACTTGTCTTAAAGATAAATATATTAGAAAATTAAAATATCATAGAAGGTCGGACACACGTCTATCTAGAGAATTTATTTGATTAATGAAAAAATCTATGTCGATCTTAGTTATCATGTATACAGACGTGCAATCTCTATTTTGGTATGAACTCAACTATCAAATGAGGAGAAAAGAAAACACTCAGGAGCTCCGATGCATTATAAATAAGACGCATGCCCCTTATGTATGGTTATTCTCTTTACACTTCAACGTAACATGCTTCTAGCATGCCTTCATTTTGCCATCAAAATGTCATTGTGTGTACCCTCATACACACACACACACTCACATTTGGAGTAGACGCATGCAAGAAGAATAAGTGGAAATTGCAATACCACCTTCAGTGATCAACCATGTTTGTTCATCCAAGAAAATTGGTGCTTATTATGAGTTTCGGTAAAATTTGCGTGTGTCTTTTCTGCAAGGTGTCTAGGGACCGTGATCACTAAAAGTCGAGCTCTCCTAAAGTTGTCCCAAAGAAAATCAAGTTTCTAAAATCAAAATTCAAACATTTAAAATGTAAGGCCTAAAAGTCAAAGCTCGTCATCATCAGGGAGACAAAGATGAGAGATCGAGACATTCAAATTATCCATCATGATTAAGGAACATCAACATAGATCAAGTACTAGAGAACAACTTAGATAAGATGGATGCGAAAACTAAAAACCTTAAAAGAAAAATATCATTAATCAAATAAAGAAATCATATACATCGTGATAGCCTATTCATTGAGAAAAGTGGCAACAACATGACCAAATATGATTCAGAAAGTAAAGAATTGTCTCGAAAGGCCCATGTGCACACAAATATTGTATTTAAGAATGGATTATCCATCAAGAAGGTTATGGTAAATTCATAGTCATTTGGAACTAAGATGTCATGTAAATTTCAACTTTAGAGTTGCAAAAATAAATGAACCAATAGAAACAATCAAATCTCAAGTTTTAGAAGACTTAATAGTAGAGATGACACGCCCACATGGTACTGACCTTTGGACTTTATTTGTATATGGGACATCCTATTTTAATCAAAGTGGGTGAGAGATGTTTAAGAGGTACTCGGGATTTAATTTTAAAAGCAGTAAAAACTAAGTAGAATATGGAACTTTGATAGAGATCTTACAATTGGCTTAGAAGACAGGAGTATCACATCTCTTGTTTAATAATGATTCTTAATTAATAATAAATCAAGTCATGGGAGAATAATATTATCGTCACTAGCTTAACTAATAATAGATCAAGATCTTATTCTTAGATGCAAGGATAAGATCTTGATCTGTTAGATGAAAATAAATATTTATCACACATTACGGTGCATGTTATAATAGTGGGAGCTACAAATATATCCAACACCAAGGTGAAACACCTATAATTCAAATAATTAGATTGATTCCAATAAATCAAACCATAAGTTTTATATTGTTATATCTTTAAAGATTTTGCGTAGTATATCTAAGTTTTTCAAAAATTAATGATTCTAAGTTAGGTTTTTCATAGTTTATTGGTTCCATAAATAAAAAACGGTCAATTTAACAAATTAATCGATAAATGAATTTGTTTGTAATACACAACATTAACTATTTTCCAATGAATATTTATGATTTCTTACATATATTCATGTTATCATTGATATCTTTATTCGTTTCTCTTTGTAAGTCATTCATTATCGAATAACGATGAGATAACTATTACGTGGCCAGTTAATACAATATGACATTATCGATTCAACGCTATACGAAGTTGTTGAACCTAAATTTATTATGAGTTTATTTTTAATGGATAAGATATCACATGTCAATATTTAAAAAACACGTTCAGATGTCTATATTAACATAAAAATCATATTATGAAAGATTAATTCATAAAGCACTAAGAATATTGGTGAATAATATGAATATATATAGCACCCTCAAATAACAAGAATAAGAAGAAAATGGTGAAGATAATGAAGAAGGAGAAAAGGTTTGAGAGGAATATGAAGAACAATATATCATCAACTGTCGATATTGTGATTCTGTGTTGTCAAATCTATCTTAATTAGTCTTTTTAAAATTTAAATATAGCTCTCTCTGCTTGCACTTTATTTTGCAAAATGTTACAATATAATATTTTCAAATGGCACACAACTATTATTTTTATAGAAGAGTTTTAAGTTGAAATTCACCAAATGCAAGATGCTCCCTTAGAAATTATTGTTTTTGATAAAGATGTAAACTCAATGGTCTTCTCTGAATAACTAAAACTTCAATAATTCAATAGGCGGAGATAAAGCTTTGTTACACAAATCGGTATTATTTTATTTCTCATACTTCTTGTTTCTAATTTCAAGATATGTTTAATGAGCGCAAATGAATCATCCATAATCCATTTGTTTCCTACTCGAGCCTTTTTATATAGGGTTTTAGGTCATTAAAAGTTTTAACGAGATGTGTCATTCTCATTTTATCAATTAATTATTCAGTTTATAGTAATTCTTAAATGCATGTATATAAACTCGATTGCCAATGTGAGTGTCTTAATGTGTCAATCCATCTATTGTATTACACAATCCTAATGGATAACGTCAACATTCTAATGTGCCAACCCATTAAGGAAATTACATAATCCATGTGACTAATGGCGACACCCTGATGTAAGTATCCATCAATTGAATTATATAAGTATGATTACCAACGTTGACCCCCTAATATGACAATTCATCAATGAAAATTCATATGCTCATTGGCTAATACTGACACCCCGGTGTGACAATCCACCAATGAAAATACATTTCAATTCTACAAATTCAACATAAACTCGTAATCAAATTCAACGTAAGGTAATAAACAACCATAAAGATAAAGAATCAATTTTTAAAGCATTCTTTTATTTATTCGATTATAAATAGTATTACAATGCATGAGATCCACAAAATTGTTTACAAATATATACAAATTATCTCATAGTAAAGAGGAATCGACAAGATACATATTTATAAATAATATTCCAAGGAAAAGGATTACATAAATTTCATGACATACAATTATAAGAGATGCATTTTTATTTAAAGGAAGATGTTGATAAAAAACAGCAAGTGTACTATTTTTCCTTTGTAGTAATAATGAGGGAAGTCCCTCGAATGTCGATCTCAAGGACTGCGTATAAATATTGAGCTCAAATTGTTGTTCAATCAAACAAAAGCCTTTGGGGGTTTGGAATTGTTTTGTGGAATTGTAAATGCAATTGCGAGAAAAGTAAATAAATTGAGTTATGGTTAAAACAGATAGTAATAATATGCTAGGAAAGGTGTGTGAATCGTTCCTATAACAACTCTGAATCAATGTTGCAACAACAGTTTTTATATCATTAATACCAGTTCTCAAGATTGTTTTCTCCTAATACCTTAGTGGGAAAACCATTAATCATTCACCCCTAATATTTATGTCCATAGAAATGTATCGGTGAAATTAAGTTGTAACATATCAAGAATAATCTGGTTCATATAGGGTAACCCTCGTCCTATGCATTATCTATTATATGATATTCTCATGAAAGTATTATAAACGGTGATCAAACCTAATTTATTATCATACAACAATCTCAATTTTTCTGAAAGAAAAATCATTAAGAACATCAAGAGAATAATTAACGATAAGAAAAAAAATTGCCATTGCAATACTAAAATCATACTTGTTCACAGATACAATTAAGGGACACCCATTAGCATTAGGGGGTTTAGCCACTCATATTATTCAAGAAAAACATAATAAAGAAGTTAAACATTATAAGAAAGAGGATGAAATTTGATCTTCAATTGCTTCTATTCATGAAAATCTCCTTTGCATCCAAAGCTTCGTAATTTTCTCTCCTAATATTTTTTTAACATCAAAAGAAGAAGAAACCAATAACCTAGCAAAAATTCCCTTTAAATAGAAAATATTCCCTCTAAAATGTGTCAAATCTCCATTCAATGCCAAATATTCACCAAATAAGGAAAGAAATAAAATCCTCTCGCCTGCCTGCTACGGGTGGTCGTTGCAGGCCATTGTATTGTTAGCTCAAAACATGACTTGGGCATTATAGTTGTTACGGGTGGCCGTAGCAACCCATTACATCCTTGCCTTTGAAACTTTGAAATTTGGGGAAGTGACTTCATCCTGCTATGGGTCGTAGCAGGCCACTGGTGAAGGTGAGAAAATACTTAGAAGGGGGGTTGAATAAGTATGAAGATAAAACTTAGAAATAAAAAACTCAAAGATTTTTATCCTGGTTCGTTGAACTCAACTACTCCAGT